GTATAGCGGCAGATGTGTTCTTCATTTCCATGTATTCATGTCCCATCAATGTCCACGCTGCCAGGTAATGTGGGTTTAGTTTCAGAGATCTCTGGAAGTAAAGCGCTGCCTTTTCATGCTGTGATCTCAGACTGTAGAAATTACCTGAATCAGAGAGAAGCATGTGGTCAGTTACAGTCAGTGCGACACATACAAGATGTACATCATTGTGCCCTATCACCCAATATAGTGGTGTTCTCACTGGACGAAATAAGCTGTTGTCACAACGCCTTTTATTTGAGAACGTTGTTAAAATGTGTGTGTGAACAGAATACGCTGTTGTGGCGTCAACGTTTTTGACATCGTCGTAAAGGGGTGGACCAGATTCTAAACGCTGTTGTCAAACAAGCTTTGCACAATGCAATGTGCCATGTGAACACAATACGACGGGCAAACATTCTCTATAGTCGACTTATTTATGCTTGTCATTACACAAGATGGCGTCAGAGGTTACAGGTTGAATGTCGAACTGGTCAGACCAAGAAACAAGATTACTGATATCTGTAACGAGAGAATTGATGGACGTAACGTCTAGGGATGGTAGAGTATATGCTGTGATTGCAGAAAAATTGACTGAAAAGGGGTTGGACAGTACGTCATTACAATGTCAACGGAAGATCAAAACTTTTCGTATAAAGTACAGAGAAGTGACTGAGCAAAATAACAGAAGCGATAGAGATCCGAAAACTATCATTTTGGGATGAACTACACGAAATACAAGCATTAAATCCTCAAAACATCGGTACGTGTTTTTACTAAGTGAGTACACGAGCAGACAATTCAGCAGATTATCTAAAAATTGCACATCAAAAAAACAGAGTTAACACCGGCGTTTTTTAGACGTGAGAACGTAACTTATGACATGTTACTGACACACAAAGATTCGCTGTTTGATATGCTAATTCACTGTTTGTCATTGAAACAAAAGGAAATCAAACATTAATATAGTGATTTCAAACTTTTCACTAGACTTTCTTGTCCAAATGTTTCTGCATTTTTTCCCCATATATTTCAGGAAATAAACCCTAATTTTGGAGCTAACATACAAAATTTAAGTCAATTTTCAGTTTTTTACTAAAAAAATTTAGCTATATTTGTCTAAATCTTCTGAAGGAACATGCAGACTATAAACACGGCTATTTTGTGCATTTGTTATGAAAAAATGGAACTGTTACAGAATGATGTCTACTAATCATAGGTCCAATCTGACAACTACTATCAGTCATTTATGTTGTATTTAAATTCATAACATTACAATATTGATATGCAAATAGATTGTTACAGACACTCACAGAAAAGTACAAGCCTACTTACCGATAACACAACAAGTTTCCACTCTATACTTGTCAATTTCACAACATTTATGGGCAAGGTAACCAAGTTCAGGCTTCATTTCCTGTCAAATCATAATGATATTATCATCACTACCGTGTTTGCTCAGAAACCAAAAATTACATGTACTGGAAATATTTGTATGCAGGGCAATAATTTCCTGCATTGATGCAGAATGAGTTTGCATTGATGTTTTTTGATATTCTCTATTTTATTTCTATATACCAAAACCATTTTATAAATTTGGTTTTGATGCCCTCTCAACTCCGAAGTTTGAGCCCTACTTATATACAGAATCAGAGATTTATTACTTGGGGTTTGCAACGCGCATAGTACTGTATGGTGACATCATGTCAAGATCCCATTCAAGTCTCATCTCGTAGATAGCAAGACTGAAGCTACGACCTTCTGACATGAAATAGGCGGTTTGTAATAAAACAATAAAACATGTACCGTTAAAATCCTATTATAAACCGCAGTTTATATTACAATGTATCAAATAAAAAATTGGGATCAACAGCTCAAGTTCGGGGTGCGGTTTATATTAGAGACATATTGCAATCACTAAATGGGCGTGGTCATTTTTTTCTCACATCACTCGCACAAAACAAACAATACACCGTACAATCATTTGAATATAAGCGTAACTCCAATTTAGATGTCCGGGAAGAGTGATAAGCCTCACGTCACAAAAAAACTGTTCACATGAAAAAAAAATACTCCGTATATTTAATGTAATATGCATTTTTTTTATTTTCTTCGTAACGGAAAGTATATTCTGACAGGAGTTTCAAATAAAAACAAACATTAATACATTGCTTAGTAGAAAATGATCATGGTACGGCACTAAAAAAGTACGGTACCGTGGCTAAGGTAATGCAATCCGGCCATGCTTCGGCTCACAAGTGAATAACTTACTTGTTTTCGAACTGTTAAAATTGTTGATTATTACTCGGTAGTGATTATAACAACGCACGAAAATTAAATTCGTTGAATTGTTATCAAATGCAAGTAAAATTCAACTTAGTTTCACTGTAAGCGAATTATTTCGGACACATGTAAACGATCGATGCGAC